TTATAATGACTCCTTCTATGAAAAATCCCACAAAAACAAACCCCACATGCCCCATTTTATGGCATCTGAATTTGACATATACATTCCCCAGTGAAATTTCTCTACTCAAAACCAATATAAATGACACCGAAAATAATAACTAAACACTTTCCAGCAACATCATAAAAAACAAGGCATATTACGATCTAAAACCGCATTACTAGAGGCATGTCTGGTCTGTTCTCATTACTGCTTTTCCTGTTTGGTTCTCCCGGTGAAAATGAAATTCACCCAAACCAGTGACACGATTAGATGATAGTGTTGTAAACAGAAGAGCACCTTGCTTCTTACTAATAGCTGTGCCAGAAGAGTAGGAATTCATCGAGTACACAGCGGGGAGAAAAGCAAGATAATGAAATGGTTTCTCCCTGTCCCACACTCTTGCCCCACCCTGGCCTGATTTCTTCTCATTGCCTACCATAGAGAGGTTCCAGGAAGAGGGAAAAAAACAGAAGTAGGAACACGGAGTTACAAACAGCACCCTAGAGGAGAAACATATCTCTTTTCTGTAGTCTCCCCTGCAGACCAAGGAAAATACACAAGCCTCGCACTGAAGGCATCGCGTCAACTGCTATGCTTCCCAACACTCCTATGTGGTAGGTGTTATTAGCATCATCCCCACTTTACAGATGATGCAACTGAGGGCTGAAAAGATTGAGAAACTTGCCCAAGGTTGCACAGCTTGTAAGTGGCAGAGAGCCAAGAGTCTTGACTCCAAAATCCTTACTATTTACCCACTTACTACACTACTTATTACTGTAGTGTAGATGAAAGGGTACTGGGCTCTGACTTGGCTTCACCCCTTGGGCAAATCACTTGACCTTGCTGAGCAGTTTGTCATCTATAAATGAGGGCAATGACAGCTGTCCAATCTTCTTCATATCATCCGAGTTACGCTGAGTTCATACACGTGCACATACGCCCTAAGAACTAAGGGTGCTGTGTAGCTACGAAAGTTTGTTCATTTGACCCTGGGTTCCTCATATCTTTAGCCTTTGAATGGTTTGCTAACCTAAAAATGAGTTTGATGGTAGTTAAATCATTTTAACATTCTAAAGCAAAAATCTAGTTAAGAAACCAACCTTAGACATTCTGGTAAAGGTCAAACCATGAGGACAGAACAAAGATCAGTGGTGGCCACCCATCGGCGGGGAGAGGGGAAGGGTTGAGTAGGGGGCTTTTAGGGCAATGAAACGATTCTGTCATAATACCATAATGGCAGCTATGGATGATTATATATTTATCAATTCTTAGAATGTACAACACCAAGAATGAACCCAAATGTAAATGGACTTTAAAAACAATGCACCAACATCTGCTCATCAATGATAACAAATGCATCACACTAATACAAGATATAACTAATAGAAGAAAGAGGTGTGTGAGGGGATGTATGGGAACTATGTAATTCACGCTGTTTTTCTGTAAACCAGAACAGCTCAAAAAAAGTCCTTAAGTTTTAAAAAGCTCAATCGTATAAAACATTCTACATAGGGATATAGAAAAAGTATTATGAGTGAACTTGGAAGCCTAAAAAATGCTGGAATACTTGGGCCTCCACGGTGGCACAGTGGTTGAGCGCTGGGTTGCGAAGCTGCCTGCAGCCTCTGCAGCGCCGGTTTGATCCCCGGCTGCCCCCCGGCCACCGGAGGAGGGTCCCACATGGCGCGCAGACCTCTCCTGCCGCCCCCTGCTCCCCTCAGCAGTGTACTTTGGTCCTTCTGCCTGCTCTGCTCCCCGCTCTGGCTCTGGTGAATTCTCTCACCCTCTCGCGCTTCTGACTGTACCTAGTGCTTGCATAGATAAATAAATCTTCAAAAAAAAAAAATTCTGGAATACTTGACAATGTATATATTCCATCCTTTTATGAAGATCAATGTTGTCCAACAGAATTCTTTTTATATAATTTTTTTAAAGATTTATTTATTTATTTATTTATTTATACAAGCACTGGGTACAGTCAGAAGCGCGGGAGGGTGAGAGAATTCACCAGAGCCAGAGCGGGGAGCAGAGCAGGCAGAAGGATCGAAGCACACTGCTGAGGGGAGCAGCGGGCGGCAGGAGAGGTCTGCGCGCCATGTGGGACCCTCGCCAGCGGCCAGGGATTGAACCGGTGCTGCAGAGGCTGTGGGCAGCTTCACAGCACAGTGCTCAACCGCTGTGCCACCAGGGGAGGCCCTGTCCAACAGAATATAAGGCAATGATGGAACATTCTAGATCTGCTCTAATACAGTAGGCACTGGCCATTTTAGCTATTATAGAACACTCAAACCATGGCTAAAATGACTGAGGAATGGAATTTTAAATTTTATTTTATTTTATTTTAATTAACATTTAAAATAGCCACAGTTTTAGACAATTCTTCAAGAGACCTCTAGAAATGCACTATAATACTAATTTGAGAAGAAAAACAGTCACTTCAATAGACATTCAATTGGCTGCAGTTACGAAACAATGCCACAATTAACTGAGTAGGTCAGGAGTGACTAAGTAGATGGTTAAAGCAACCAGGAACCAATAAAGCACATCTCCAATCATTTCTCCTTTAAGTCCCATCATGTAACCAAACAGTGACAAAATGGTCACTTTTCCTTTAATTCCTACAATATTTTCAAAACACAATTAGTTAAACATTTCTGCTTCCGGAAAAATAGGGCAGAGGTTAAGTTAGAACTGGGAATAGTTTTTCAAGTCATGACCCAGCAGAAATAAAAAATTACGGGTCTAGGGCCTCCCCGGTGATGCAGCGGTTGAGCGCTGGGTTGCGAAGCTGCCCGCAGCCTCTGCAGCGCTGGTTCGATCCCCGGCTGCTCCCCGGCCCCCGGAGGAGGGTCCCACATGGCGCGCAGACCTCTCCTGCCGCCCGCTGCTCCCCTCAGCAGTGTACTTCAGTCTGCCTGCTCTGCTCCCCGCTCTGGCTCTGGTGAATTCTCTCACCCTCCCGCGCTTCTGACTGTACCCAGTGCTTGTGTAAATAAATAAATAAATCTTTAAAAAAAAATAAATAAACTGTCTTAAAAAAAAAAAAAAATTACAGGTCTAAAAAAGCGATCTGCACCAACCCAACATATTTACCTGATTTTTAAAAAAGAAATTTCAAAAACTAATATTTAAGTATGCATTTCAGTTCCATGTCATAGTCAACTGAAAATCAGAATGAAAGAAGATTCCCAGAAAAGCGCAAGCAAAGAAGAAAGGAGCATGAGGTAAGTAAACAAAAATCACACACACATGACTATTGATATCCAGCTGTTAACCAGAGTACTGCCTCAAAGGGTCATTACCTCTAAGCCTGATCCTTTAAAATGCTAGCTGATTAAACCTCAGTTTCTAATTCACTTTTTGTTCTTATCCCAGTGGCATAAAAGGGAACTTATGTCCTCAATTGCAGCGGCTTTTTATCAAAGTCCTCCCCAGGGGGACCTATGAAATCAAACACTGAGACTGGCCCTCCACCCTCAGGGAATAAGTGAAGTGTCCAAAGTGACAAAGGTGAATCCCTAGAGTGTACTTGGTCCACAGCTTCTTTTTCAGTCCTGCAAGTGCTGGATCTTTCTTTGAGAGTACAAAGGGAGGGAGAATATGAGAGAGAGGTAATTGAGAAGTAGTAGAACCGTCATGCAGAGACATAAAAATCCCTGACGCTAGAAACAGGCCCCCCAAAAGCTGGTTCTTGACACTGCTCAGATGTAAACCTAACCTTTTTCCTCCTCTTTCAAGTTCATGAATCACATTAGAAAAATATTTCATAATTTCACACAGTAATTTTTAAGGGGTAATTTTTAAGAGTATGCAAATGCATAATTAAGCTAATATGAACTAGGTGTGTGATCAAGCAGGATGTCCAACAAGTTGAACGTTTCCATATGTTCCACAGACCAGGACAGACGGACGGGGCTTGTCCCTTCCCACCCTCTCCCCTAAGCTCACTATTCCTAGGCCCTGAGAGCCCTGTACCCCGCTCGTTGTGCAATGTTTTTCCAACTCCACCCACTGACTGGAGAACAAGTGGAATGCTCCCATTCTGAAGGTCTCGATTTTCCTGTATCCAGGGAGACACTGAAAACTCCTTGACGTGAGTGGAGTAAGGCAGGGGGGAACGGTCCAGCCTGTCGCCCGGATCAAGAGCCCAAGGGCCCGAGTCGGAGAGGCGCTCAAGTTTCCGCTTACCGATGGGGAGAAAAAGAAAGAAAAGGGGAGGAAATAAAGAACGGGGTGGGGGGGGGGGCTGAATGGGACGACAGGGTATCACGAGATGCTGCTCCCAACTCTGTGGGACCCAGGTCCCCCAGCATCGCCTCCCCATGGCCAGTCCCACGTGCAGCTGGGCCCGCTGTGCCCGGGACGGGATCCCGGGGCCCGAGTGGTCTCTGCAGCCCCCGCCCGCCCGCGCACTGGCGGGGAACGCAAGCCCGCGAGGAAGGGGGCAGCACCCCGGCTCCGGTGCGGTTATCTTACTGCGCAACAGCCTCGCCCGCGTCGCCCCGGCGCACCCGCAGCGCGCGCGGCGCACCTGCCCAGCGCTGGGAGGGCGAGCCCGTGACCTCAGGCCGCCCCTCGACGGCGGCGCCCAGCGCGGTGAGCCCAGAAAGCACCCCGACCTCGGGGGCTGGGAGAGAGCAGACCTGGCGCCCGGGACCCCACGGGGCCGGCAGCACGTGGCTGTCACACTGGCGCGCCCCCCGCCTCGCACCCCTGCCCCCTCTCACCGGGTTGCAACCCCTGCCCTCTCTCCCCGCCTCCTCGTGCCCCCAAGCCCCAACAGCCACCCCCTCCCACGCCATCCATCCCGGTTCCACTCCCCCCACCTGCTCCCACTGTCGTCACCCCCGGGGGGAAAGAGAGCCGGATGTTCGTCCCAGGACTAAAGGTAAGCAGAAAGAGTGAAGAGGTGAACCCCGAAAAAGGTAGTCCGAGCGTTACCCCGGCCCGGCAGCAACGCGAGCGCTCCCCAGACTGACCTTCTGCCGCGGGCTGCGTCGCCGTCCGCCCCGTCCGGCCTCAGTCGCCTCCTCGGCGCCGCCGCCTCTTCCCCTCGCTGCCTCCTCTACCCGCGTCGCCATGAGGTGACGGCAGAGCCAAACAAGCGGCCCGACCGGGGGCACGGAACCTCGTAGGGCCTCGAGCTCCGCCCCCGAACCCCTCTGCCAATCGCCGCACGTGCAGCGCCGCACGTGACCGGAGGAGGTTGGCCCCCGTGGGGCTGGAGCGGGATGGGGTGGGGAACTTTGGAGCCGGGGCAGGGCTTCTGCAGGGCCGAAGGGCGGACAGAGGCCGCACGAGTCTGCGCGGACCGGGAGAGGGACTCTGGCGCGGACTACATGTCCCAGCAGGCTCCTGGGCCACAGCTCGCGGGCCCGGATCGGGATTGGAGCGTAAGGCGGCGATCTGAGCCCGGAGTAGGCTGGGCTGCGCGGGCAGCCTACTGGGACTTGTAGTTCTCTGGGGGTGATGCACCGATGCCGGAAGGTACTCCTTATTATCCTGAGGGAAAAGTTTACAAATAGTCCAGGTTTGGGGACGGCGCTGGAGCAGGGGTACGTTGTTGTGTTTTTGCTTTTGTTGCTGTTCCTCGGAGTTGAGTCCGGATGATTTCGGGATAAGAGGAAATATTTCGTGACTTTCCAGGCGGGAAATGCAATGGCTTTCAGAATTGAGGTTTGAGGCGGGCACACCTGCCCCAGCCCTGCCCCTGCACCTGAGGTCCCAGCCCCGTTTACCCGCCCCAGCGCCGGCCCCCGGGCCCTGTCCTGTTCACCTTGGCTGAACCTTCCCCGCTTCTGGCACTGTTGTCCGCACTAAGCTGGCTGGCACTTAATACATGTTGAATATGTCCTGCTTTCTCCGTCAGTTGTTTCCTTAACTTGGAACACGAAAAACAAAAAACTCGGTTTGTTGAATAGACTTTTCTTCTTCACGAGATTGTGGTGGGATGGGACGAGATGAGATGAGGCAGTAGAGTTTTCCGCAGGACTATTCTCTATTTCCACCTGATGGAATCACATCTCTAGTGACCAAGCTTCTGAAAGTGACAGACCGTCGTGAAACCCTGATGGGTTGTCTTCAGCAGCACACTGTGAAAACCTCTGTAACTCCTCTACCACCTTTTATCAGTTGAATACAAATCAGTGGTAACACCCTCCAAAAAGATTAACAACATACGTGAAAGTAAATTTCAATATCGGGGAAATGCTATCTATTAATTTTACTTATTTCTGTACATTGGGGGAAAGTACCATTATTTGATTTCATGAACAAAACACCTCAGTCCAGCTTTGAGATTTCAAATCTACAACAGCGATGAACACTTACCCAGGCTGGATATAAAGCTGATGGCCTCAGCCACCATGCCTGACCTTTACTTTTATATTCCCTCACTTTCTTAAAGGCAAAAGTCCCAACAAGATGCAAAATAGTCTTACAATTTTTTTTTGAGGAGACATGCAGAATAAATCTATCCATAAACTGCTTCTAACCCATCCAGGGAATTAAGTGTAAAAATGTGACACAGTTAAGTTACGGTACAATGCAACATCCTGCAGCTACAGAAAATGATAAACATGTTTGAAATTGACTCGGAATTAAAGAGCTTCTGTATAGCAAAAGAGACAGTAACCAAAACAAAGAGAAACCCCACCGATTGGGAGAAAATTTTTGCACATAACACTAATGATAAAGGACTGATCACAAAAATCTACAAAGAGCTGATGAGACTCAACAAAAACAAAGAAAATAATCCAGTCCAAAAATGGGCAGAAGAGCTAAAAAGAAACTTCTCCAAAGAGGAAATGCTAATGGCCAGCAGGCATATGAAATTCACTCAGAAAATATACATAGCATGGTGACCTTTAAAAAAAAAAAAAAAACACCAGATTACATTTATAGAGTAGACTTTAAAGAAATATTTTGAAGAATATTAATCAAAATGTTAATGTTTTCCCCTAGGTGGTGAGGTTTGGGAGCATCCTAATTCGTGATTTTCTGTATACTGTATACATTTGAATGTAAGTATATATAGAGCAAAACAATCTATAGTTATTTTGATTATGAATACAAAAGAACTATGCAAGTGACCTCAAGTCTTAAAAGGAAATGAAAACTATTTCCTTGTATTTATTCTGTTTATATGCATCCTTATTTCAAAAGGGATTTAGATAAATTGTAAACATATATAAAATATGTAGCAACAGGACCTCCCCTGGTGGCCTAGAGGTTGAGCGCTGGGCTGCAAGGCTGCCAGCAGCCTCTGCAGAGCCGGTTGGTTCCCCGGCCACAGGCGAGGGTCCCACCAAAAAAAAAAAAATGTAGCAACATACATGTTGGTAGCTACATACATATCATTCATACATCTATACATGTATCTCCAGAAATAAATTTATTTTTTAAAGATTGATTTATTTATGCACACAAGAACTGGGGTATAGGCCAGAGATGAGGGAGGGTGAGAGGATTCACCAGAGACAGAGTGGGGAGCAGAACAGGGGGATCTACTGAAATACACTGCTGAGGAGAGCAGCGGGTGAGACAGGAGAGCTCTGCTGCACCTTGGGGATAACTCCCTGGCCAGGAATCGAACTCAGGTGGCAGTGGCTGCCGATAGTTTGATAGTGCTGACCCTTAACCTCTTGTGCCACTAGGGAGGCCCCTCCAGAAATAAATTCAAAGTGAAACAAGGGGCAGCTCTCCTGCCCTTTCATGCCTGTGCAGGTGTTTCTCTTCACAAACCTTTTCCCTTTGCAAAGCAGCACCAGCTCTTTCCTCCTGCTTGTATCTGTGCAAGCATCTTCTCCTTTCCTTTTCCTAATAAACCTGTCCTTTTAAAATGTAAAAATAAATAAAGTGACACAAGAATAGAAAAAATAAGATCAGGTCATGGGTGAGTTGAATCCACAAAACCAGGCTTTAGGTCTTGCATACAAGCTGGAAGTGAGTCAGTTTTTTATTTTGAGCTTCTTGACAACTAAGACAAGAGGAAAACATAATTTACAGAGTGATTCACAACATTACAAAATAAAAGCTACTGGTTGCTCAAGACAAACACAGCTATTACTGCTCCTACAAGAAATACGAATTGTAAAAAAAAAAAAAAAAAAGAAATACGAATTGTAAAGGTCTGTTTCTCATAACGCCTTTAATGTAAGCAATGGTGGTTTTAAAATCTGTCCACAAGTTCTTTGATGATCCCCCTTTCAAAAGGTGGAGTCTGGGACCCTCCTTGGTGGCTCAGGGGGTTAAGTCTCAGCACTGTGAAGCTATCGGCAGCCACTGCAGCACAAGTTCGATCCCTGGCCAGGGAGCTAACCCACATAGCGCAGCAGACCTCTCCTGTATTGTCCACTGCTCCCCTCAGCAGTGTATTTCAGTCATTCTGCCTGTTCTTCTCCTCACTCTGTCTCTGGTGAATCACCCCCCGCATCTCTGGCCTGTACCCCAGTTCTTGTATGCATAAATAAATAAATCTTTAGGAAAAAAAAAAAAAACACCAGGCAGACCACAATTTAGAACAGGGACTCCTGAGCCGCTCCTGGACAGTGACAGCAAACAATAAGAGAGGTATGGCAAAGTAACGTCCTGAGGATTGTTTTCTACTGGGGGTGGGGAGGTCTAAGGTGGGATTAAGGTGACATCTGAACCATGTCTTGAAGGGTCAGCAGGAGTTAAATTAAGCACGCTAGTTTGACTTGTGCACCTCAGAGTATTTTCAAAGAAAAGCTCCTACTAACCTTTAAAACAGTCAAGACAATTATTTCATCAAAAGAATTGAATTTCATGTTTGTTGCATACTATTTGAGATGGTAGTGAAAAGGAGTATTTGCCTTTTCATAAAACAAAGAACCTATTGTTTAATTCAGTTCCCCAATACCATCCTTCTGAGCTAACCCCAATTTTAGTCCTTATAAGAATTCAGCCAATTTCAGCATCTGCTCTACACTTCCACATTTCTGGCAGACGCTGAAAGATTCAGAAAACGATTATACCCAGATTGCTCAGGCATACTGATGGCCAGCTGTGGAGTGCACTATTAGATTGGCACACGCAGGGTGCCAGCCCAGCAGGAAAAGGGCACTCTAAAGAAAAACTTGTGGTATACGGGCTATTGGGAGTATGTGCATTTCAAACATTCAAAACCATATTTGCATATTTCACAGTATTGGCACTCTGGCATTTTGGTTTAGTTTTTTATTAAATTTTATTGATTTGACATTTGTTTACAAAACTATATACTTCGGGGAGCACCACTGGAGTTCATGAGCTTTGTTCTGATTTATTTCCCCAAGTCTCAGCTACAATTATAGACTTTCAAGGAAATGGAGAGTCTATGCATAGAGACAATGGAAAGAAAAATATGAAGTACTTCTGGGATTAGGTTCTATTGAAAATCTATTATATAGAATGTTGAACTTTCCTTGGGAAATATCTCTGACTTGATATAGTCTCCTTCTTTAGTGGTGTTTTTCAAAGACTGCCTGAGAACCACAATTTCCACCTCATGAGGAATGATAAAATATTGATGCCAGGTCCCCCACCAAGATCTATCAATATAATAATTTGGAGAATAGGACCTCCCTGGTGGCTCAGGGGTTAAAGACTGTGCTATCAAGCTATTGGCAGCCACTGCAGCACAGAGTTTGATCCCTTTTGATCCACAGCAACCCACATGGTGCAGCAGACCTCTCTTGTCTCACCCACTGCTCCCCTCAGCAGTGTGTTTCAGTCAGTTTGCCTGTTCTGCTCCCCACTCTGTCTCTGGTGAATCCTCTCACCCCCACACCTCTGGCCTACACCCCAGTTCTTGTGTGCATACATAAATATTTTTAAAAATTAAATAAATTTGAAAAGATGCATAAATACTTAAATTTAGAAGTCTGGTCACATAGCCTTTCAGAACAGCGACCCCTGACATGCCGTACCCCACCTTCACTTCCCACTCAGAAGTGGGAAGGGCCATTTTCAACACTGTGTTTTCATCTATCTGTTCACTTCTACATCACCTAATACTCTGCCTTGACCACTTTCTTTTCAGTTCTGAATTGTGGCAGAGATTGCTAGTCACCCACCTTGACACCAGGTTTTCCTTGGCTTTCCTTGGTAGTGCCTCCAGAATTC